GTAAATAGTGTACATACTACCTCATCTCAGAAATATAAACAGATACTGAACAAAATCTACCCTTATCTTCTTTTGTCTTAAGTGTTATCATTAGAAAAACCTTCTTAATGTCTGCCAAAAATACATATTTGTTCTTATGGAATAATAACAATTCCAACATGTTTTTGTAAGAGTTCTTGGATTGCAAAGGAAAATATTTGTCATAGATTACTTCCACAAGGAAAAGAACAAATCACTGTAACTTCAAACTCGAAGATCAGGAGCAGAAAGAAATGTCGAAATCTCGATTTGCAGGTCAAATGTCACAAATCACAATGCATGTAACTAGTCAGAAAAATAACTCGATCGCCACGGTTGCTAAATACACAAATTTTGTATTTTTTTTCTCTCCAATTCAAGAGCACCAACTGCTTTTATCAACCGAGCATGTTTTTTCATTCGTCGACAACTGGGAAAAGACGCACAATATTAGTATATCAAAATACTTTTATAGTGACTCCTGTGACTGACTTGTTTCTAATTTGAATATACTGTTGTCAGCATATCATGCAGAATATGTGCCCTTTTTTTGGCAGGTAACTTTCTTTTTCACCATGGTTTCCATTGTAGGATACACGTGACATGCTGTCGCTTGGTTTGACAAGGTAATTTGCCGTTTTCTTCACTATGGTTTTATATGAGGTTTATGCTAAGATAGGCTGCTTTATTTAATGAAAGGGCCTCATTTGTCTTAAGTGAACAATTCAAAATTATTTTGGTAGTTATTTGATCCTCAGATTTAAGGTAAGAGGTATCCAAATGTAGTCTTCAAATTTATCAGGGGAAATATCATTCTATACATTAATGATCCAGCATGGTTTGAAGGGACAGATTTAATTTTTTCCTCATCCTAAGGCAATTTTACATGACAATTGTTTTTATGTTTCCTAGACTTTTCATTTTTAATGATGTTAATTGGCATATTATCAGCGCCAGAAATTTCAGAATTCCAATCAATGTCAGAGATTTTAGAATTTTCATCAGTGTTAGAAATTTCAGAACTTTCGATTTCAATGAAGACATTAGATATTTCATCAGTGTCAGAAACCTCACAATTTTCATTTTCAATAAAGATGCTAGATATTTCAGTATTAAAAATTTTCAAGACATTAATTTCATCGATATTTCATCAATGTTAGAAATTTCCAAATTCAATGAAGACACTAGATATCTCTTCATTGTCAGAAACATCAGAATTTTTAACAAAGTTTACCACTAACACTTCTCTAGGTTCAGTCTCATTGTTCCAGCAATTAGAATTTTGCTCAAAATCATATGCTAGATCATTAAATTCTTCTAATGTATTAGAATGATGGTCAGCTTCATGTATAATTTCATTTCCAGTATCTTCCATATGAAAATCTAAATCAATATAAATTTCAGTTATTTGATCCATGAAAAATTCTACAGTATCTAACCACATAAGTATATTTTGTTCCTGTAAAGTGAAGAAGTATTTTGAATTTGGTACATTTGCTTTGATTTTCATTAAATTCAAGTTAGTGTCAATTCTATACTTGTACAAAGGTTTTTTTCTTTAATTTATAAATGACAGCCATATGTAAAATATATATTTAGAATTTTAGTTATAAATTTCTCTGGTTTAGTTTTGAATAGGATTTTTATTTCTTCCATCTTAACACTGAATTTTCATTTAAAATAATTTTTAAGAGAATAAAGGCAGGATTTTATGCATAAAATTCTCCCATAGTAACTCCAGTTTTGAATACTGAATAGATTTTATTATTTTTTTTTTTTAAAGAAACAACAGTAAAATTTTACCTATAAAATTCTCCAATGTTTTTCAAGTTGACAGAATTTAACCCCAGTCTAAATAGACTTTTTTTTCCCTTCACAAAAACAGAATTTTTGTTACTTCAGTATATACTGAATTTTCATTTAAAATAATTTTAAAAAATGAATGGCCGAATTTTACACTTAAAATTTTCCAGTAGTAACTCTAGTCTTAAATACTGTGTAGATTTTAATTAAATTTTTTTTGACAAACATTGGCAGAATTTTTCCTTTAAAATTCTCCAATGAGTTTTCCAAGTAACTTCAGTTTTAAATACTGGATAGATATTATTATTATTTTATGAAAACAGAATTTTCATTTAAAATCATTTTCAAGAAAATAAAAGACAGAATTTATGTAAAAATTCTCCTGTTTAGTTTTGAAGTTAACACATTTAGTTCAGTCATAATACAGAATGAATAGTAATATTTTTGAAGAAATAACTGTAGAATTTTACCTTTACAATTCTCTGATAACTTTAAAACAGAAGTTTTATTATTTCAGTCAATATACTGAATTTACATTTGAAATAATTTTTTAAGGCAGAATTTTACACACAAAATTCCCCTTAGCTTTTAAAATTAATGCTCAGTTAACAGAGTTTAGTTTAGTTTTAGTTTCAGGGATAATACTAAAGGAATAGATATTAATATTTTTTGAGAAACAACGGCAAAATTTTATCCTTAAAATTCACCAATAACTATAAAACTGTATTTTTGCTATTCAGTCAATAATGAATTGATATTGAAATAATTTTAAAGGTGGAATTTTACACAAATTTCTCTTAGCATTTTTTTAAGTTAAGGCTGTTGTGAATACAAAATAAAAATAACTTGCTTTTCGCCACAGTTGTCAAATTCGTGAGTCTGTGCAAAAATTTATTTTGACCAATAGAAAAAGGGATTGGCTCTGGGCTGAAGAAAAGATCAAGTCAAAGTTTAACATGCCTACATGAAAATTTATTTTGACCAATGGAAAAAGGAGTGGCTTACAAATTAAGAAAAAAGTAGCAAGCCGATGTCAAATCACTTTTTGATATAAATAGGCAGAGAAAGTTGAATCAAGTCAGAGAGAGAGAGAGAAAAGGCAGAAAGAAGCAGGGTTCCACGTGTCAGAATAACGCCAGTGTCAAATTACACACTGATACATTATCAGCCTCTAATGAGAACAGGGCAATTTCAAAGAACTCTATTCAACTCCAAAGCTAAGTACCTTAAAATATATCTTGTCATTCATGTTGAATACAGCCATATAACTTTTATGTGAAAAACGAACTCTCTCAATTTGTTTTAAATGTTTTGGAATATTACTTTGTGTCTGATGATTTAATAAGAACATTTTCTCTTTTTGACAATTCATTGAAACTATGAACTTTAAATATTTGATTTCTTTTCCTGAAACAAGCTACTGACAACTTGAAATGTGTAAACTTGTAAATAAATTCCTTGTCTTGTTAAATAGAACAAGTGTTTCCTTGTCATTATCTTTCATGTACTTCAAGACCACACTTGACTATTAGTTTACACTAAAAAATGTTTTAGAAATTGTTGCAAAGGAAGGCTATTTTTAAAAATTCGAATCAACTGAATTTTATTTTGTTTAGTCTGATAATCTACATTAATCACACATAAGAAAAGTTATTTAGCCAGATGGTACAAAATTTCATTCAAATTTCACACAGCTGAGTCTTCTAAAATCAAACATAAATTTTGTTATTTGCATTCAAGAATTAACAAACAATTTTGTGCAAAATATAAAAATTTTATTCCCTACCAAATCTAAGTTTTTGTGTCAAATGCAAAAACCTTGTTAGTAGGACTACTGCATAAAATTTAAAGGGAAAACATTTATTAAGCAATTATGAAAAAGGTACAAATACAAAGCTTGTACAAAAGTTTCCTTTTATACGTCTATTAAGGTAGGATAACAATTTCCAATAAAAAAGGATTACCATAAAAAAAAAAAGGAAAAATTACAGTTTGGGAAAAGACAAGGATTTTGAAAATGACAAAAAGAGAAAACAATACAAGAAGGCAAAAAAACAAAGGTGCAACCATCTTTGTGAAAAAATGAAAAAGACTTACTTTTACTTGCCCCCATAGGCATCTTTGGGACATATAGTAATTTTAGAAAAGCTCCTTTTAAATTCATAATTTGTGCTTGGGAAAATCTCTTCAAATTCTTTTCATTCTTTGTTTTCCAACTGCAGGAGAATTTCTACTTGAACTTAAAAATTCTTTAGTCTCTCCGCAGCTGGCTGGTAACTTGTGCCTTCTAAATGTTCTCTTCTTGATATCAAATACCTTCTGCTCCTTCATGTTCATTTGCCTTGTCCTCTTGCTGTCAAAAAGTCTTCTCCCCTTGTTCACTGACTTGAGTTCTATTCAGAAATTTAGGTTCACAGAAGGCTCCATCCAAGTTTACACAAGGACATGAGACCACGGCTCTCATTGGCCAAAAACAATGATGAAAAAACAATTGTCTATAAATTGAAATGGATTCTTCACAATTTTGGCAGTTTTCAACTGCTGAACTAAAAAGATATACAAGTGTTTGGCCTTCATAAAAATACACACACACACACACACACACAAAAAAAAAGCATCTACTAAAAAAACACCCTAGATGATTAAACATTTATTCAAGGCTAACATTTTAAAAATAGTAAAAATAAATTTTTATAATACTGACCCAAAGGCAATTGGGTAGGTTGGAGAAGATTTAGATCTTAATGAATTCTACTTGGTTTATTTCAGGTTCAAATTTTTCTAGAACCTTCTCCAAAGTCATTTTATGGCTTCTAATTATTATTTTTAATTTTTTCTTGATTTTTATCACCTCAACACTTAATTAATGTCTCTGAATTTTTTCACAGTTTAATCCTAATTATTTCCTGCTTCAAATTGTCATTAAGCATTCTCATGTAGTAAAATGTTGTACTACGCTTACAACCCAGTATGTTTTTTAATATGAATAATTAACAAATGTAAAATGAAATAAAGACTGGAGAAAAAAAAAAGAACAAGTAAAAACATTTCAATGAAAATCATCTTTTATTTCTTTGCGCACTCATTAATACATGTACATTTGAACATTTATATTATATTATTTTAAAATTTAACTTTGAAATTTTAAAATGGCTGACTCTTCACAACTTGGATGTTATTCAGAGTTTTGATTCTAAATTGGAATTTGTCAGCACAAACTCTTTAACAAGTTTTGTGGCACAAACAGCAGTTCCCCAACTGAGCGTCACTCCATTAGCACCATGTCCATAGTTATGTACAACCTGATGGATTTAATATATAAATTAACAATGAGAAATTATAAATATTTTTTATTCAGTAATAAAACAAAAAAGTAGTAGTACCGTATTTTCTGGCTTACAAGACGCACTTTTTTCCTAAAAAATATCCTGAAAATCATCATCATCCTTTTGCGGCCTCAGCTGAGACTGAACTCACTACACCTTTCCAGTATTCACTATCTGTCATAGCACCTAAAAGATCTTCCTTAGGGATCAATGTGTCTCGTTTTATCCTATCTGGAAAGGTTAACTTGCGTGATCGATTGTCAGATGATGGGTGCCTCCAGAGTACAAATGATGACACAAGTTCATCTGTGGCATGTGCACAATGCCCGGTGAACTGGACACGTCTCTTGCAAACTAAGGTTCATACTCTCGGCAAGTCTCCATATATCATTTCTAGAGTTGGGTGGTTTCGCCATGAGAGATTAAGCACTCTTCTTATTAAAAAAAAAAACGTATAACATCCATCTAAATGGCGCTGTTGTTTTTTTTGAGAGAGTCCAAGTTTCAGAGCCATAGAGTAAGATTGGCTCAATAAATCTGCTGAAAAAGTTGGATTTTAATTGACGAGCAAGATTGGATTTCCAGATCTTATCCATTTTGTTACAAGCAGTCCATGCTATGCCTTTTCTAATGTTGAAGTCTTTCTCAGAGTTCAAAATTACATGTGCACCTTCCAAGATGAATGTAAGGCGATGCCCAGGCTCAAGTAAGCTTGGACAGTCACTTAATTGGCTTGACTGAAAGGGATGTGGATTTGTATGTTGAGTCATTACACTTTAATATTAGCTATCTAATTCAGCCTTTTATATGATGTAACCTCAGTACTTAGCTGTTACAAGTATTTCCAAGACTATAAACCTTCCTGGAGCTGAGCCACAAGCTTAGTGGTTAATGTAAACAATATGAGGCACTAGTAAGTGAGGGACCCATGGTGAATGTGTTGTATAAGAATGACTTTTTTTTTTTTCTTAGAAATTTCTTTCCAATATTAGGGTGCGTCTTCCAAACAGGAAAATACGGTAATCTAGTAATTACAAAAAAATTAAGTATCTTATTGACCAATTTATTTTGTAAAAGGTAAATCAATTTTATAAAATCAATCACTATATTTCAACATATTTCCAATATATTGATGATGCTCTATTAGTATACCCTTACAAAACTACTTTACCTGAACTTGTAGCTGAACTAAACAAAATCAAAACATATGATACAATTTACTTATGAAATTAAACCAAACAATACTTTACCTTTTCTAAATATCTACAGTTACACTGCAGTGACAATACCTTAAAACTAAGTGTAGCAAAAAGAAGAGAGAGAAACAAAAAAGTGACTAGAAGGTTTGCCGGCAAACCAGCTCTTCTTCTTCGCCGTTGGTTGCCTCAAAGAAATGAATTGCCAGGCTCCTTTTCTCGGCTGTTACACCGGGCAGTCGTGAAACGGACACCCAAATCAAATGCGCCTACTTCAACCGCCTCTTGGTCTGCCCGTCTATTCACACGTCCAACTCTGTTTCACGAAGTTCGCCAAAATGACTCGCCTTCTGCTGTGCCGCTGGCACCTTGCCTTTTTATACTAGTCCGACACTGCTCAAATTTTTATGTGTGCTGGTACAATCTCGTTTTGGACGAGACCGGCGTGCACAAATCATGTCCCCGACAGCAGCCATGTTTCCTTTTGGATTTGTCATGCAAGCAAGACACGTTCGCACACGTTCCGAGCGCCATGGTAAATCATCACACTAAGTGTCCATTGCAAAACAAGTAATAAAAATCATCTCATAAATTTCTATTTTCACCATTCTACAACAAAACAAAGTAAAATTCAGAATAAATATTGGTTTCTATTTTAGAACATTCAGAATTTGTAGCCCTCAATATTTACATTAAGAGGAGAAATACATTGAAAATACTCTTAAGCTCCTCTAATACCTTAATTATTATATATTCGACATGAAACAAAATGCTTGTTAAATATCTCAAAATAGAAGAGTGGGCCTTCTTAATAAACCTAATTGAATCAAAATATATTGTTGTACCCACCATACACTATCACCACAATTAAAAATATTTTATCTAAGCTTAACATAAAATTTACACCTAAAACAATAAAAGAATTAATACAAAACAAAATAAGCTAAAACTTGAAGGAAGAATTTACTCTAACACCAGTAATAATTGCCACAAGAAATACATAGGAGAAACCTCAAGGAATTTAAATTAAAGACTACATAAGCACAACAGAGAACTTTTACAAAACAACACAGTCAATGCATTAGTTTTTCACTGTAATGAGTCTGATGACAATTTTGATTTAAAAAAATACTACTTTAATAAAAAGAAAAAGAATTTACTGGGATCAAAATGTATAGAAAGTTCTTTAATCATTTGATCATTCACAGTAGATTTACATCCAGGTTCTTACAACATTTCACAATTCTTGGCAGATCATCTATTATCACAATATGGGATATTTAATAATAATAATAAAAAAGTGATGGAGGCATAAACAAAAAGAAAAAGGAAGTAAATAAAACTGGCTAAACTATATACCCCAAACATTAAAAAAAAACAAAAAACAAACTTTGAAATGTTCAACATCCCTTCTTCATCATGTACATGTGTATCAAGGATCAAGGTAAACATCACTTTACTCTAATAAATGCTTCACACAAAAACTGTTTCCATTTTCTTATAGTTTTCCCTAAAATTGTTGTGGATATATGAAAATTAATATATTGTTTCTCATATTTATACAGAAAAAAATGTCAAAAGATGAAAAAAATGTAGCTGGCTTTCATATTTCTATGTAAAAGATCAAAATCTGTGGAAAATGAACCTTATTTTCATATTTCTACAAGAGTTGGCTGAAAAGTTCATAGGCTGACCAAGATACTCTTACATAATGTGTTGTGGAATAAATAGTACACGCCTGGTGACTATATGTTATACCAGAACATAACCAATTCCATTGTAATAGACTCTCCCACAGATAATAAGTAGTAGTAGCAGTGGCCAGTTGGGCTCAGTGGTGTTGAGTGAGTCAGTCGATGTCGGACATTGAAGTATCAACCATCACAACTAGATTGCTGCGTCATTAACTCTTATTTCAAGTTCCTAACGTTTTATATATCGGACCCTTTTTAGGACCGACTTATTGAAATACAAGCCTTCACTGTAAAAACTACTCTACAACACTATATGAACTAGTCCATTACTAAAAAGAGCTCCAGGTCAGAGGCAAGTCAGGTAGGTATTTGGAGTTAGTCTTCAGACTAACTCATACAGGCATCATAGCAAGTAGCCAAAGTATTACATATAGAGAATCCTTATATGAAGTACATTATATAAGTAAGAGTGTGTTATAACAATAGCAATAGAATAACAGCGTTATAACTTAATGTGACAAAATGAGGTTTATTTTTCAACATAGTCCAAAAGCAGTCCTCAAACTTCTTGCATCAGTATTGCAGTGAAAAAAACTTTCATCCTGTTGATCAAAAAATTCATCAAAAGCAGATATGACCTCATCATCACTTCAATACTGGTTCCCAAGTGATTTTTCCATGTTGGGGAACATATAATCAGATGGAGGCAAATCAGGAGAATAAAAAGTGTGATACACTATTGACATTATTCAGACTATTGTCCTCATCTTTGTCACCATATTTATTACAACGTTTCAGCTGTTGTATGCTCTAGCCTTCTTCAGATGGTTGGAATGTCGAAGTGAACTTTTTATTTCACTCACTGGTGTAGACCGTTCTAGTTCCACATAGCATGTCTAATGGATGTCAGTTAACAGTTATCTCCTGTTAATTCCCCTCTGAAAGTTCTCCACTGTCTTAACCAGGTATTGAACTCACACTCTTTGGGTCTTGTCACTGGATCTAACTAACGCCTTTATCCACTCTGCCATGTATCCTTAAGGATATTTTTTTTTCAATATTGAGAAAGAAAAAAAATTTGAAGAAAATATAACAGATTTTAATATTTCTATATAAAAAGTGAAAATCTGAAGAAAATGTAACTGATTTTCATATTTTTCTTCAAAAAAGACAATAAGGAAAAAAAAAGTAACTGATTTGCATATTTTTATGTAAAAAGTTGATGTGAAGAAAAAGTAGCCCTTTTCACATTTTTCTATAAAAAAGTCCAAATCTGAAGAAAATGTAGCTGATTTTCCTATTTATATACATGTAGGTGTATATATCAAATATTAAACTTTGATTTCTCCTACAGAGGGTGATGCTAGTTCAATCCCTGGCATAAAGCACATTGCACATTTTCTTTACAATTTCTTGAGTATGCATGCTGGTAAATGTAAGACAAATTGTTTTCAAATAAAAACAGGGCACCAATACAGGCATGAATACTGAAAATAACATTTGAAGTAATAAGAAATGTCGAATCAAAAATAAATCCATTAATTCTTTAGAAATATATATGTTTCTTTAAAGATGACAGGCAAGGTAATTTTTAAATTTTTTTTGTGTTCAAACAAGTGTTTACAACGCAAATGATATTTTTATTTTAGCGAATAACACAAAAGAAATAGATGCTCGCAAGACCACATTTGAATAAACTGTCCTTAACTTTACCTACAAACTTAGTCAAAAAAAATAAACTCTCATTATTAATTTTTCTAGTAGAATATAGTAACTACAATTTTACCACTTCATTGTATAAAAATCTACTAGCAGAAACTATTGTCATCTTAATTCTAAGAATGAATGCCCACTCAGATACAAAATAGCAGTGATAAAAAAACTTTCTAAAGAGAGCATACGAGAATTCATCCTCTCATCTACTTTTCCTCAAATGTAAAATAGACACTAGTTAACAATGGCTTTCCTAACCACCTCATAGACCACCAAATTAGAATATTTCTTCCCAAAAGTAAATAATAATGACAGTGAATCCACAGTCAAAAATAACAATATTTTCTACAAAAGCCAAATGCATGTCAATTATAAACAAAATGAATTTTCACTTATACACTACCTCAATTTTAAAAAAAATAAATAAATAAAAATTATCTACTACAAAAAATTTAAATCAGCCAACCTTATCCTTAAAAATAACAACACACCAACAAAGTCAAAATTACAATGAACAAATATTATTTATGAGTTCAAATGTCCCTTAAGGAACGGTGTTCTTGATCAAGCTGAACTCATAAATAATTACATCAGTCACACTACTACAGACACCTTATGTTACACCTCTCTGACCACAGCTCCATTAGAACCCATTTAAACGCACACACAAACTTACCAGATTCCATCCGAAACATACTAGTAGAAAATACAAACATAATAACCTCATCCACCTATAAAAAAAGATTAAAAATAATGGAAGCCTTGATAATAAAAAAGAAAAAGCCAACACTCAATAATATTAACTATGAACATGGCCACAATGTGTTGACTGTGTTCAGAAAATGAAACATCCTTATAACTCTGGAAACATACGCACAATCCATACACTGAGTTAAAAAGCAAAAATAAAATCATCCTTGATAATGGCTAAAAGTATAACTGAAAGCGCTTGGAATTACAGAACATTTGTGTCCAGAAAAGAAAACACTTGTTAGAACCCAAGAAAAATTAAATAAAATGCTTAATCACAGTACCTTGTTTGTTGTCTTTAATGAAACATGAATAAATGAAGGATTGCTGCCTAAATACAAAATATATATATGATATATATATATGATATATATATATATATATATATATATGCTGACTCAGAATATACAGGTCAGTGCCATTAAGCCACGCACCAATAAACCACAATGTCACTTAAGCTGTGTATGTGTGATGGACCCCAAAATTTTTTGTCATGTTGATACTAGAATCATAATCATCAATGGATCCCAACTTGAAACAAATTCAGACTTGATTGTGACGTTTTTTAAAGTCTGATTTTTTTTTTTTTGTATAATCTTATTTTCATAAATTCATTAAATTCAGTATATCCGTATTTTCCCAGGCATTTACTATTGTTTAGGCTTTGTCATTTTACATTCACAACTGTGTAGTTGTTTGAATTAGTACTTCGGGCATTTTGAGTGTGAAATATGCCACTTACAACCTTTATCATAAGAATGAAGAAAAGCTACAAAGTTTTTTAGATGAGCTAAATGAAGGAGATTTAAAGAGGAAAAGGGCCAAAATTGCCAAGGACCCTGATCTTGACAAGACAACATTTAACACATTCTCTGAAGCTAAAAATGTTCTGTGAAACTAGAAATGCTTTTCAAAACTGCCAATATTTGACTCTTAGTATTGAATATGCATTTTTACATGCTTAGCCACTGTGTTACCCATTTTCATGGACAACTCCATGGGCTTGACAAGCTTTGTTTTGATGGCTGGCAATCATGACATTGTAGCTCACTTTTGATTTAAACTGCAGATAGAAGTTTTGAACTCCAACTACCGTGTTTTATCAGCGCTGACCTGTATATGGTTTTAAGGATCTAAATATTGTAGTTTAGAGCACTTGTGGCCTGATGATTGCATCTAGCATGAAACAGACTGTCGCCTCTAAGTGTTGACTTCTATGTTCACTTTTATATTTACACATGCTCTATCTCTGATATTGAGCACTTTATCCCATAAATATAGCACATCTTAAGACTATATTTCTTCATATATATATATATATATCACTGCCTTCACAACATAAAAAAAACAGAGCTTACCTTCAGCTGACCTTTAGGAAAATTCATTTCTTCCTTCTCAATACGTAGAGGGATCCGATGTGGACGTAAACCAGCCCACTCCCATAATACTTTTGCATTCTAAAAGTAAGAATCAAATGATATATGATGAAAATCAACAATACTCATTTCTTTCAAACATTTCTCACTGTTTGGCTGATTTATGATTCTAGTTGTTGTCTCCATTAGTCGTTCAACTTAAAAGATTATTGCCATTGCACTGCTTAGATTAAATTAAATTTGATTCATTAATTGATGAAAATCAGCAATACTCATTTCTAGAATAAATTTTAGTCAAGATTTCATAAAATATTTCTGAAACATAAACAATTGAATGATAAAAATTCTAAAAAAAAAATGTCCTATTGCCAAAGTTATTTCTTCCTAAATTCTGACACCACCACTTGGGGGAGATATCCCTAAACTTAAAAAAATCCTTTCTCTCTTTCTTTCATTTTCCGTGAACTATGACCATGTAAACTCTTGCAGAAGATAAACATTCCCACTTGTGGGAAGACACCATGAACATTACACACACACATACACACACACACACACACATACATACATACATACATAAACATTCATTCATGCATTTCTTGGAATACAAACTTTATACAATTATTTCTTACACATAAACATTGTTTTTTGTAATTTGTATCTGTTTGTTTGTTAATACACATAATTGTTACACACACACAATATATAATTTCTGTCTTGGTTATTTTCTTCTATATTTCTTTTGGTTGGACTCAACTTGAGTTCACCAGGTTTGTAGTGGATTTTATTTTTAGGAGACCACAAGTGTTCAATTCACAATACGTATTTAATGTCACAGTCCACTACACTATCACATATCAAGGCACTCAGTTATTGGTTAAATAAATCAATATTTTCAAATTAGCTTTGCTTCTGGTGAGTTGTAAGTTCCACTTGAGCAGCTTCTTCCCACTAACTGCTGCCTTGTGAACTGACGAGGATGCTTTCCCGATCACTACAATCTTAACCTGTTCATGTTTAGTGTTAACTGTTATCTTCCACACATATCTGCACAAGTGTTTTTACCCTGTAAACCTCTTAAAAAACGTTTTATAATGTTTGTTTAAACATTGTAAAACATAAATAAATATCAGGATTATTAAGTTTACATTAGATTGCACTTACTGTTTAATGCTGATAAAAGATTTGTTTGTGCAAACCTATATAAATTTCAAGAAAATATTTTGCAACCAGATGTTATGTGGAAGGCAGCAAATTTTAACATTCTCATTTCTCTTTCAAACTCTCAAGAGTTGCTTCCAAGTTGGCACAGGAACCAGAAAGACACACAATGCTTATGGCACTAGCTGACAACCATAGTAATTCTGTGATAACAAGCTTCTTCAACATAACCAGGTGAACAAGATGAATGACAGGTGGCCCTTCACAGAATTTATAGATGTATCCACAGTGATGCACACAAAGTTCAAATCACATGATGATCTTGGGGAGGCGTTTTGAGTAATGAGAGCAATGTCATGTTGCTGGACTCTTCCCGCCATCTAAATTGAGGTGATGAGCATAGTGGTCAAATTCTGGACTGATGAGCTGGCCATATATATTCCTGTAGCACTCTACTCACTCCCATATAGCCCATGGGACCCATGGGTTGCTGGCTGAAAATTTTCATGATCATGTCACTCACAACACATGGTTTTCTAGCTCCTCCGGATTTGAACACTTCTGGGATAACATGTCAGATCCAGCAGCTTGACAACACAAAGGACTTATTGGAAACTGCCCTCATGAACATGATGATCAAAGTGAACACAAGAACTACTTGATACAGCTATGTAGTCATTTCCAAAGCTGCCTCAAGGCCAAGGATGGTTTTATCAGATAACCTTTTTTTATCTGCTGAACAGGTCTGAAAATCGTTTTGACAATATACTGGATTTTTGCTTTTATTGTATATTTTTGATTTCTTTATATTATTATTATTATTATTATTATTATTATTTGTTCTCACTTATCTGGGGAATTCTGAAGATATGCAAATAACTTAACATGAAACTTAACATTAAGCCATGTATTAAGATTGTTCCTAAAGATTTTCTTAGGACTCACTTGACTCCTTTGTTTATATTTTGTCCTTATCAGTCATTTACATATGATGTAAGTTTCATTTTATTTACACTTACCATCATACAAATTCTAATAGACTAAAATTAAAGAGAGCAATTGGTATACAAATTAAACATCTGAATTTGACATTGCTGAATTTTACAAAGAGAAGGACTGTTTTGTATTCATTACCACCATCTTCCTTTGATAGATCTAGCAGTTATATATTAGACCTCTATCATGTCAGAGGCTTAACAAACATTATCATAGGCATTAAGTTGAGTCTTTCTATCTACATTTAACAGGATTATATCAAGTTTTGCACATTGTAATCAAAGAACTTATAGTAAAACAAAATCAATTAATTCCAAAGAAAGGTGTATCAGATAAAGTCAACTAAGATTTCACTAATGTAAAATGAAGAATAAAATATAAAATTAACCATAGGATTTTAAGTAATTATTGGGTTTTAAGAATGGTATATAAAATGTAACCTTCTGTTAAAGTCTGTAGTAAACAAACATACATAATGTTACAACATTAATATAGTTGATTGGACAAAACAGACTCAATATGATTTTAATATTAGTTGCTTACGATATAATATTGTTTACTTTTTACCTTAAGACTGGGAATCCTTGAAGTGCATCGTTCCCAAATCCCTTTGCTGACTTCTGGATCAATATGTGTTGTATAGTCATCTTTAAGACGGATTCCACCAAGAGCCACACGGTCAGCACTAGAAACAATTGGTAAAAATTCATTATGTTAATATTTTCAACTGAGAACTTTTTAACACCCCCTTTGTATATTTAGTATTTAAACCCAATTTACTACCAGTAATTCCAAAGACAACAAATTCACAGATACATCCACAGCTATTAAGGCCTAAGAAACTCTTCATCTAACTACAGCAACAATACAGGAAAGTCTCTTTTGAAGAGAAATATTATTTCTATTATTATTATGTTTTCACTCTTTGGAACTTTCTGGCTAGTTACCCTTTTCAAGTAAATGAAGAATATAGTATATACTCTGCATTAATGCTTTTGTTTACAAGAGTTAGGAAACTTACACATTTTTATAAACATTTTATTTACACTTACCATCATACAAACTCTAACAGACTAAAACTAAAGAAGAGAGCGATCGGTATACAAATTAAATATTTGAATTTGACATTGCTGAATTTTACAAAGAGAAGGATTGGTTTGTATTCATTATTACCATATTCCTTTGATAGATCTAGCAGTCATATTTATCATGTCAGATGCTTAGCAAAGATTATCATATGCATTAGGTTGAGTCTTTATATTTTATATCCACCTTGGAATGGAAAAGAAAGGCCTTTGATTTTTTTAACACTGTGCCTGAATACCTAATTTCATATCTTGTTATTATAGAAATTTGAAATGCATCTATCCACTTGTGAAACATCCATCCAGAAATATGAAATGCATCTATCGACTTGTGAAACATCCATCCAGAAATATGAAATGCATCTATCCACTTGTGAAACATCCATCCAGAAATATGAAATGCATCTATCCACTTGTGAAACATCCATCCAGAAATATGAAATGCATCTATCCACTTGTGAAACATCCATTCGATATAGAGAAAAAATGTTCATGGTGGAATGAAAAAGATTATAAGTAAATGAAAGTTGGATACAAAAACCAAAGGGGAAACATACAAACTGATCGAGGATTCAACAACATGAAAATCAAACAATACAATATCCAGGGAAATTTAATTGTGGACGAACATATCCATACCTTTGTGTCTGAAAGAATATATCTTTCCAAGATTTTTGATGCCATTGTAGGGAGTACCAATAAAAATAATATATAACAAAAAAAAATTAAAAAGAATTAAAATAAGGCATTTTTGCTTTCCTTTAAAACCTTTATCTCTTTCTTTCTTGCTCTGTAAACTTCTCTTTCTATACTTCTCTCTCAACCTACAAGAAGGCAACCCTCAAATAAAAAGAGGAAGTAAAGACTGAACCTGGCCACAAAACACTGGGAGTTTGCAGGAGCAGAGTCCACTTATTTGTGAGTGAAAAATGTATAAAAAAAAAAACATCAGGGTGGCTCCACGCATAACTTCTGTTATAAAAATTAAAATGTAAAAGAAAGGAATTCCAGAAAATAATTTGAGCTAATGAAAAAATTGACACAAAGAGACTTTTGATGCTAGCTGAAACCAATGTTCATGCTAAATTCTTGAGCATGGTCAAAAGGATATAAACCGACACCTCTGGGCTAGAGGCAGACGGGACAAGGAGAGAACAGAACAAAAGACACTATCCTGGAGAAACCAGCCATACATGATGCATGAAGAAGTAGTTAAGAGGTCATCTGTTAATGATATTTCCACCTTGCTTAAGGCTAAGAAAAACACAGTAGATTGACACTGACCTAATTTCTGATATTACTAGTACCCCTATCATGGTCTGACTTTAAACTACCATAAACAGACATTTCTCTAAACTGTTACAAATATCCACCTTATTAACAAACTTTTTGCTATGCCAAATACGAAAAGGGCTCATCACTCTAAAGAAAATAAAAAATATATTATTTATTTTAAACCCTTGAGTCAGTTTCATTTCTGATTTTCCAATAAAATAATTATCCTACCACCTATCCACACTAGTGACCTTCCGATGTAGATACACTTACCACACCATCAAAGCAAACATCCTGGACACCTTGCTAATGAGAATAGTTAAGGATGACTACTATTTGGTAGTTTTGTGTCTTCTAAAAGATGGCACATATCTACATACATGTAGTCATCCACATATTAATAAAAAAATAAAATTAATATATGATTTATGCTCAATAATTACCATGGAATAATATAGGCTGGTGGATCATCTTCAAAATAGTAGAAATGCTTAATCCATGGTGCTTCAACCTAAAAAATATCAGATATAAAAGTATCTTTATTTTTTAAGATCATGTCAAAAACATTTTTTGAAAGTAACACAGTTTGGTAGTGGACATGGATACTTCATTGAAACAAATCAATGCAGAAAAAGTTTCACTACCAAACTGTGTTACTTTATATGCTTAGCTTTATACAACAAAAACAGTAACCACAATTTCATCAATAAGGTATGATCTTCAATATCCATTTTTTTTTAATTAAAGCTGAGTTCCAAAATATAATTTTATTGCGTTGATTTGCCATTGCCTTTTACTGAATTTGAACCAGAGTTGATTTGTTTTTCATCATTGGATGTGAATTTGAACTTTCAGTCTCATTTTGATCCCAGTAATACTATGTATTTATAGCATTATTTATTTATATAAGAGAGTATTAAATAACTCCAAGGATACTAGTACCTTTCTAAAATGTTAACTACTTGTGAAGAGTGCCATTATTATTGTACCATATCTAGTTAGGCTAGAGTTGCCTCCCTTGATATGTGCTGTTTGTACTTTCTGCTGTGAGTTATTCCCCATGGGGAGTGCTATAGTGGCAGGCTCTGGACGGCCATTTTGGATTCATCAAATGTTTATTATTCTTACAATTCTGTTGTATGTTTTCCTTTCTTATTATTAACTGGTGGACAGATTTCTCTACATTAACCTTTTTCACTGATTTTTATTATCTACCTAAAATGGAGAATTAAACCAAACTTTGGAAATAATCAGTGATACAATATTTTCTGGATTAAAAAAAAACTACAAAAAACCTGTCTGTGACAAAGAAAAGAAAGAATACCCGCTCGGCCCGGTGGCTAGGATCAAAGTGTAGTATCTGTGCTTTGTGAGCTGCCGAGCCGGGTGTCTGTCGAACTCTCTGCTTGCAGAGGGGAACCCGGACGAGGCTCCGCCGAAGGGTGGGGTTTCGTTCGGGGAGGTTGACGGAACTAGCCCGCTTGGTCGGGTTTAGATGGGTTTTATTTTTGGCTGGGCCTACGGGCTCGGACATACCCACATTAAAAAGGCCTTGTGCCACATTCAATTCCTGTGGGTGAATTGATAAATACCATCTTTTTAACAGAAACCTTTTGTTTGCAAAATTTCCTAGGTTTTCCGTATCTGTGATTATAGGATTTATGACATGAAGTGATACAATAAGAAAATGTGCTCATTTATTACTATTCTGTTTCATTAGTGCAAATTGTGACAAAATAAAAAATTTCTATAAGTGAATGTGATTGTTAATATAAGTATTTAGAAAATGACAATGCGTTGTCCTGCATGACATTAGAAGCATTTAGTTTTAACTGCCAAAGTGGATTACAATTTTTTTTATTAGATTTCTCAGTGAATGAAGCCCCATGACTAATTTGATCAATTTAGGCTGATAGTGAACAAATCAAGATATTCAGATTCATGAACACTGTACTAAAAATATATAACTTTGAAAATCATTTGTATTTATCTTAGTTGTGTAGTTTTGACATAAGTAAAAATCTACGGACCCTATTTCTGTGTATGATTCCTCATTTAAAGGTAACAAAAATGTTTAATTTTTAAGCAAATTGTAGTGAATGATGAAAAGTGGATACTTTACAACAATGTGATATGTAAGAGACTGTAGGAAAAACAGAATGAATTTCTATTTACTGTTTATTGAAAGATGATGATGTGTATATTAAAAATTATTTTTAATAAAAATGCTAAAATTGTATGAGAAAAATGGAAATGTTGAAATTGTGTAAAAATGTAGAAATTATTTAATAAATAATATTAAAATTGAATGAAAAACTAAAAAAAAAAATGTTGGAATGAGCAAAAGTTAATAAAAAATTATCTATATAAATAAAGTGCAGTGTACATGTGTCCGTTTGTTTTTTCATTTCAGTGAATCAATCATAAGCAACCTGAAGTAACAGATAGTAACTGTTAGTAGTATAGTTACATGGGATTAAAATTAAATAACTCAATTAAAATGGAATTTAAATATCGAGCAGAATGAAAGGTTTAAAAAAAAAACAATTCTTATCAAAGGTTTAACTTTATTTTCACTTTTCATCAAAATATAAATTGATATCATTAAATCATAATTAAAACTTAAGCAGGGCACAGCACGTTGCTCCTATTTTTTTCTTTTCCTAGCATGCGTACTGTGACATATTCGAAATATTACATAGTTCAGGCTCCCTAATGTCTTAAGAGTTATTTTATGTGAAGGGATCATAAAGAATAGTGATTTTAAAAGAAAATAAAAATTGTGTGCAAAATAAATGTAAACAAACTACAGAGATTGGTTGTATATACGAAGAAGGATTATGCCGAATTAGGGTGTCAGATAAAGATAAAATAATTGTATTATTTCTAAATTCTTATAATTTTCATGTACAAAGGACAATGAAGGTAAAAGAAGAAGTGAAATTGCTTTTATTTTTGAAAGTCTTGAAGAAAGTGACTTTGTTGTTTTGAGAAAAGATATTATCTGGAAAATCTGAGTTGATGATTGATGGCACTGCCTTAAAGTGGAAGTTATCAAAACATCTCTAAAGGACCCGCCAGAAAAGAAAGTCAATTGAGAAGATAATATTTGGTAATTTTTAAAGACAAACCAGAATTGAGAAACTGATTTATTCCACCTATCAAAAAGTAGAAATTGTAAACAAATTGAGAAATAGAATTTCTTTATGCAAAGATGCAGCCCAGGGTTCATGTGATTGAGTGAAAGAGATATGGAAACCAAATACTTACTGACAGCTGTCAGAGAAAACAGCTGGTAATATTCTGATTATAAAGACAAGACCCCAAACTGGGAAAAATATGCTGACACAAAAGCAATAATTACAATTAATGACCAGAAGCTAAGCCCTGCCCCGCAGTTTAAAAATTGGATTTGTCAAAATGACAACTGAAGTGAAAAGATCAGATGAGATACCAAGAGAGACAGAGGAATTGCCTATGCTCATTAGGAAATAATGGTGAAAGGCATAAATATTGGATATATGGATGGGTCAGTACCTGCAACCACTGCTCACATGCTGGTCTAAAAGTCAATATAAGCAGTGCTGAAGTGACCAAGATAGTTATAGCTGGAGAAGCAGACGATGAGATGATCATGCTGCCAAAGCCTATGTGACTTGCTGCTAAAGAGAACTCTCAACTTAAGTCTTGTTCCAGACTTAGCTAAAATGAGCAAAGTGTCATGATAGAATTCAAAGTTGGAAGGGTTAATTTTTCTGTACAAAAATAACTATATAAACCACATTGAAAACTGACCCAAAGAATTTCCCGTCTTCATTTATTTCATCTGCAAAGAACATTTTTTTCTTTGTGACACAGCTTTGCCATGGTTCGAACCAGCACTGTGATTGTTGACAACAACTCAGTCTTTGTCAGCTCTGAGAGCACAGATTAGAATGGCCACTTTAACAACCAGCAGCAGTATTGACCAGTGTAGGAATTAACCCAGGACTGACTGGTGAGAAGTGTCCTATGATGACCAGAACTTAGAAACTTAAATTACTATTAATATAGCCTGTAAATTCCAAAAGGGGATCCCAGTGTCATTTGATTATATCAGTTGTGGGAAGGGTTAAAACTGCTGTATACAACAAGTCATATACAAACAAAATCATTGTTACATTTTTTTAATCTGAGTTAATTCTTTATTCCAAAGAATTCTTTTGTGTAACTCCTAGCTGTCGACCTGTTCTTCACTCCAGTTTACTTTATCAACCTCTGAGATCAAAAACACAACATGGCAGAGGATTGAATGAATATGAAGGAGACTAAGGCCAGCTAGATAGCTTGTAACCATGCTCATCATTACGATACCAGCGACAAACCAGCAATGCATTAATGAGTGAGGAGTCAACTAGATAGTAACCAGTGGTCTGAAGGAGCCTGAAGAGCAATATGGGACCGAGAGGTTTACAGATTTATATAGACTCTTGCTCTAAAAGAAAGTTGTTATAATTCCTCCATTGTTAAGGAAAAACTTTGTTATTCATGAACTATTGTTTTCTAAGAGAAAACAGATTTGTATTTTTATGAACTGGGTCTCTACTTTGATAGTTTGATATGCACAAAGGAAATTTTGTGCAAGGCCTTTATTGTATATTGTGCAGTATTGTTGTCATTTTAATAAATGTTTGTTTCTTTACAAATTTCACTGTGAGTAAGAGTCTTGTCTTTTTTAGTTTGCACCTCTAAAATACATGTAATGGGAAAGATAAGAGATATGAAAGCTTCCCTGTTCTTTTTGTTCTCCTTTTCATCTTTTTATTATATGGTAGATTTAGAAAGGACTTCTCTACTACGAGTTCTTTTAAAAGAACCAAATGACTGGTTCAAACAAATACTGTTCTCATTTAGACAAACCGAAGAAAGCAATTAACCAACATCTGGAATTAGTTTAAAGAAAAGGCATTATCTCCCTTCGGGAAAGTGTTAAAACTCATTTTTCTTTCATGACCAGCTGGTAATTGTTACAGCTTTGACAACAATTTTTCACTTACCCACCATTTTCCCTAAATACTACACATTTGGATTACCATTTATTTCCAAAGTTTTCTTAATTCAAGAAATAAATTGTAAAAGTTGTTATTTGCTGAAAAAGCTAATCATGAGAAGATGAAATTATAACCGTGCAAAAAACAAAAAGAGGCAATGGAACAAAACAATAAATAAAATTATTGATGGAAATAAAAAACATCTTAAGTATTAAGTAAGAATTTTAGAGTAAGCATAAAGAGATTTGTCAAACAGATTGGAATAAAAATTGGTATTAATTTCTTCAAGAAGTTAATCTCAAATTATTCTAAATGTCTGACAGCCATCTTAAATGGATATTGGATATACTATTAAATATTGAATAATGTTTATTGATATGTCCAAAGTTTTTGAGCATTATTTTCTGTTTGTATTTGTATTAGATTTATTTTCATTTTATTTTTTATTTATTCTATCAGATGAATGGACAAAATTATTTTAAAACCATTAACAATCTTTATTATCTAAATATGAAATCAGGTCATACATTAATATTTTACTTTTGAACACATTAGTTGTTACAGCTTTCATGAGAACACAAATATTTTGATACAATAGAAAGTTTATATAGAAACAATAAACCTGAGGATTACAGTGTGCTTCACTTACCTGTATGAGTTGACCTTTGACAGCATATACAGATTCATCAGGTAGAAGATATTTGGACCCTAAACCAGTGCAGTTCACCACAATGTCAAAGTGACCTACTAACTGTAAGACAATCAAAATATTCACTTGATTCCTTTATTCTTTTCTATATATTTTTTTTATTATATATTTTTTTATTATATATTTTTTTTATGTATTATGCTCATTGAAATATTTACTGGCAACAGAAACACCTCAAGACCCAGTGCTTGCTCATTGGTTCAAACTAAAATCTTATGTTTGTACCAGGATAATTGTTTTATATAGTTGAGAATTTTATTCTTTTGAAAAAACTTAGAAGAGCAAATGTCTTTATAGTAATCCAAAAATCATTCTAAGAAAATTAGCCAAAGATACCTTAGCTAATTCTCTCTGAACTACAATCAATATTTTAAGGAAGAGACTTGATTATGTTATATTTAATGGTTACTCTCCTTTAGAAACAATGTCACCTGCTAATAAAGTGTAATATATGTTAAAGTTGAACACTGATTCCTCATTGTAAATCTTGTTGAAACATGTGACATTGATGATTATTGCCAAAATGAACTTGCTCTTCAAATTATTTGTGTTGATTCTAGTCTTAGGAAAAAGCAGCAGAAATAAATAAAACAAACAAATAAAAAAAGTGATGAACAATGACAATAACAGAGAAAAACTATGCAAATTCAATCAGTTAATAATTATTGGACAATATCAACTCTGTGGCGATCAGGAACAGACTTGCTATGACTTGTAATACCAGCAAATGCTGACCACTTTTTTAGTGTAAGTGCTCTGAGTGGCAAAGTAAAATTATTACTTACCTCTTCTAGGGATTTTAAAGTATGTTTTAACACATGGCCTCCTTTCTCTTGAAATCTGTAAATTTTTAAAAAATTAGAGTCATTGGCATAAAATATGACACTTTGGGTGGCTATTTTATATTTTTAGAGTCAAAGTAAGTTAGTACTTATTGGTTATTTGGAGTATACTGTATCTGTTAGACACTAAGATTTGTTATGGCTTTAAAAATGTTTGTTTATAAAGCCATAATAAAATTTTGTACAAATAAAGAATTCATGGTTGTTCATTGTAGTCAGAATTGTTATATATTGGTAGACTGATTTGTTACTGTTGTCAACTTTAGTTGTATTTAATTTGTACTTGTGTTTCAATTATAACCAGTTATAGATCAGTAGCCTTGTACTTATTTTGAATTATTTCCATTATATTATGGAATCCTCCATACTTGCCTGTCACCTCTTACAGGAAGATGCACTCTTCCCAAAATTAACCTTTAACCAATCATCACTTCACTTTTCCAAACTCAACTTCCCATTGGTTAAAAGGACACAAAAATGTAGCAAGTTGAGACAAATCCTTTTTTCCCACGCAGCTGTCTAGAGCCTATTTGAAAACCCAAAAAACTAAAAAAAGAATCGCTCTACTTGATTCAAGAGATGCCAGCAGACTCCACGCGTGTCAACACACTGACTCAATAACACTACCAGCCTCTCATCAACTCGACACAACTACTATTGCCGCGTGAAGAAACTTAACTTACAATTTACTAAAAAAGTGACATTATCACTACGAAATAGTAATTGTACATTTAATCAATTTTAGCATATCAGTCAAAGGCACACAACTCTTCATAACTTGAATCAACACTTACAATTGTCCCACACATACACACTATTATTTGAACTCACACAATTGACATTTTACTTTGCAAAAATCAAACTGTTTTATTTTCACAAACTTAAATTATCAACATTCACTCACCAAATCTCTGCATGGACACTCTTTGCAATCTTATCTCACTTGCCACATCTAACAAGCAACCTATCATCACTTTGTGTATGTCAAATATATATATATATATATATATATATATATAAATTCATGTTATTGTTGAAATCTATAACTACGTTGTTTTTCCTTGATTTCTTCAAGTTGTATTGTCTTCATATGTTCATTTAATTTGTTGTGGATAATTGCATAATGTACACGCACATTTTAGGCTTTCACACAATTTCACCTTCTGACACATCTTACTTAGCATAAATTCCGCAACAATATATCTTTCTATTCAGATGAGTATGTTCATCTTGGTTGTTGTACTCATGTTTCAACCATTGTATCATTTCTACATTTGTACTCAGTTCTCTCAATTTTGAACTGAACCCTTTATTCAATCCACAGGAGTAGATTTCTCTCATTTGTCACCTGTCCAATTCTTTTATTGAATCAAAGTATGTATATTTTCCACACTTAGCCAGGGATTGAATCCATGACTATCAGGAAACCAAATATCCTTTAACAAACACTTTAATCCACATGGTATAATTTTGGAACTTTAGATCTTATGTTTAAGTCTCCACTTAGGTGATGAAAGTTTTGATTGTCCTTTCTTTCTTAATCAAAGGTTTCTAGAGAGCATTCATATCTATGCTAGGTCTATTGCAGAGGTTGTCAAAGATTAACACGTTTGCCGATTCTTTCAGTTTTTTTATCCTCTGGTATTGTCCTTTATTACCGACTTCATTCCACTGTTGTGGGTATAACAACCAAGATGAGTACAATGGCTTTAATGACAAGGCAAAAATAATAAATAAACTATTTCAGAAGTGACTACATATCTTGATTGATATTTTCAATACTAAACATTGTATGACACACGTTAAATTAATCTGTATCTTGTTCATGATATTTCAGTAGTTTTACCTTTTTAGGTTGTTTGGTAAAAAAAAAAAACTGGTAACAGTATGATGCCAGCTATGCTTGTAGTAGCCATAGAATAGTCAGCCAGATCTCCAGCAGTACACAATCTATTTTTTGATTTATAATTTTTGTGAAAATTTTCTGCTTCAGTAGAACGATATAAAAGGATATAAGCTAGAAATGTATATTACAAATATGATATCAAATAAATGTAACTGATATATATTTTATATAATCAATAATTTTAAATGGTCAAATGAAAAATTATAAACAAAAAAAAAAAAGAGTAATTCTGTTGAACAGGCAAAGGAACTTGAGCTTCCCTAATAAGAAAAGGAGACAGAAATGGAAATGTTCTGCCACAATAAAGAAGATGATAAAGAAAAGACAAATCCATAGAAACTGAGCCTTGTTAGTCTTTAACACCTCTTGCTTTGTATTCTACTTAAACAGAAATCTGTAGATAGTGTTGATTGATTTGTTTCTTTTATTTTTTTTCAACCCTTTATGGGTTATATTTCAGATTGCAGGAGGTTGCTTGCAAGAGTTTGGTACGGTTCAGCATAGCCCATTTGGGGTCACTGATTCGGCATGGCCAATTCAGCATCAGAAAAATAATTGGACTATTTGGTACAGCCATTTAGATGCCAGACTGTTTCGACCCCACTTTCTTTGACTAGAGGCACCCTCCCTTCCAAAGGATAAAAGCATTAAAAACACCCAACTTTCAATATGACTTTTTATTTCACATTTGGATAAAATATTTTGCTTCCATTTGGAATAAAAGGGTTTTGAGAACAGAAAAATATGAAGCTACACTGAAGAAAATATAATATAAAAAAATATTGCTTTTCCTACACTTTTTCTTAAATTGGACTGTTCGAGCAGATAACAATGAAGTACTAATTTGACTACTAAATGAGAGAGAGAGAGCAAATTTGACTATAATGACAAAGTAATAATCTGAGGCCTAATCGTTCCTTTGCCAAAAAATTCCTTTGTCAAATTGGCTATGCTGAATTGGCTACACCGGAACTTCCCAATCCCTGCTTACAATACCCAGTGTTCTCAAGCAGTCCTCTATCTAAGCCTGTAGATAGTGTAAAGTCATTAGACATTTGAAAAAGTCTGAAAATAAATGCTTACTTTGACATGAGCCATGGAAGATAACGTCTGCATTCAGCAACAAGAGTCGTCACTTGGGCACCATATCTGAGATTAGAAATAAATGTAAGAAAAATGAGTTGCCAACAAAAACTGCAATAGAGGAAAAATATTGATGACCTAACAAAGACAATAATGATTTTTTTTTTATCTTTTTTGATAAACACTTTTTTTCTTTCATTTATCAGGAAGACACAGATACACATCTGTAGATCTCCACTGACCAGGCATGCATTATTTTAGATAACCTTTATGCAAAACTAATAAAGTGACTAACAACAAAATCTCCATATTATCAATTTCAGCCAGAAAACTTGTTTCCATGCAGGAATTATACAAATCTGATTTGGCTGTATTATTGAGGGGGCACTGAAATGCCCATTTTACATACTCCCAAAACAGGACCAAATGACTAAACAGAATGATATTTTTTAAATCCCTTCTTGACTGATCCCAAAATGTTTAACCCCCACTCCCTTGTAATTTGAATTTGCAAAGAACATGCATTAGATAGTTACACACTTGCTTTCTCTATGATTTTAAAGAAGAAATAATTTAACTATTTTGACATAAACAAAGACTTGATATGTTTAAACATCATTTTTTTAAGTTGAAAATTTCAACTGAATAGTAATATTTATGCATTAAACAAAATATAATCAATGAAAAAATATGATCCATATATTTTTTCATCAAGTTTCTTCTCTTAAAAAGAGGCGCTTAAAATTCTGAATTTCTATTATAAAAAAAATACAAGTTAAATTACTATATTCTAGTTATTGGCTCATCTGAACATGAGTTTTCATCAAGATAATTAACAATTTACAATAATTAAAAAGTAGAAGATCTTTAGATTAATTAGTGGAGACAGTCTGCATTATAAATTGTTTATGCAGTAAAATTGTTTTTTGAACAGCAATTGTTATTTTCACCTAAAACTGCAGCAAATATAAAAACCTGCACCTGTAGCATGATCTGCAATATGAATTACTCACTTATAGTTGAAATTCATCTTTGTGATCTGCTCAGACGACAGATTTTGAAATGTGTAAGACACCAAGCTTGCAAAGTCATCCTGACATAAAAAGAAGACATTAGAAAAAAGAAAAAAAAAAAAAAATTCTGCAAAATGAAGACCCAACTAAAATAGAAAAACAAATCATGATTAATGTAGAGAAGTGATAACTTAAACATATATGATGGGGTGCTGAAAAGCTCTCGACTAAATGACCAAACATCAGAATTTTTATGAATCCCTTCTAGGTCTGGTTGAGCCAGGAAATTTTCAGCATCCCCTTGCATATGTATATGCATAGGTACACCAATAAGTCTGCTGCCTAATGATGACATAATGTATTTATTTTATGCAAGAAATATTTATTTTTCAATAATCTTCCTTCCTTGTTAATGCATTTCATCAGTGGGTATTAATCACAGATGAAACATTATACATTGAAATTTTCAGATCAAAATTCATTTAAGAAGTCTACAAACTTATTGGTCCACTGTCATATACTATAAAATAATAATGGCACTGATTTTCAGATACCTAATCATGTTTGTATAGATGCCTGCAAATTTCAGAGTTATTGGGGGCCACAATCTTAACAACATAAGATATGTAGATGGCACAGTATTAATAGCAAACACAGAAAGGAAACAAGAACTTCTCCAGAAGTTAATGAAGAAGAAGAAGGGATTAAAACATCAATTGCAAGAGGATAGAATGCATGGTTGTTAGTAAAAGGGAAGAGACCAACATGCAAATTACAAATTGGAGATACCAAAATCAAACAAGTACAACAATATCTAGGAAGTGTTTTAATAAAGGATGGAAAGTGCAACAGACCCATTGAGATATTTGCAGATGCATTCCAAAAGCTAAGCAAAGTATTAAGAAACAGGAAAATTTTGTTAAAAACAAAGAAAAGAGTACTGAACTGTTACATATTATCAGTTCTCCTATATGGCAGTGAATGCTGGACAATCTCCTCAAGTTGTAGAAGAGACTTGAAGCAACAGAAATGTAGTTCTACAGAAGGATGCTGAGAATACCATGGATCGATCATGTGAGCAATGACAAAGAAAAATAGAAATAAAAAGATGTATACTTAACATCTTGAAGAGAGAGTTGATATTTCTAGAGCATAATGAGGAAAGAGGGACTGGAAAATTTGATACTCACAGGACAGATTGAAGGCAAGAGAGACATAGGAAAACAACACAATCTACCCAGTGAGCTTGAGTAAATGGATGGCATAACAAGGTTTAGGAAAGATAATAAAAAGACAAAATTTATTAAGAGCTACAAAGATCAGGAAATTGTGGAGAGCCATGATCGCCAATGTCCTGAAGAGACACGGCATATAAAAGAAGCAGAAGCAACAGATAAACTTGCAAAAACAACAAAGACATGATAAGTTGAGTAAAAATATCAATTATTTCTTCACTATTTTATTTAACTCCTTGGATGTCGCTGACAAGTCATATTGAGAAAAATTTCTTTTTTTTCTAGAATGGCTGAAGACATTTCAAAAGAAGTCTTTTTGTTCCTGGGTTTTCTTACTTAGTAAATTGGATAGTGATTCAAAACTTGTTTATACTAGTGTTCACCCAGTACAAGGCTCAAAAGACACTCTCTCAACATTTCATCTTTCAAAATAATTCATCACCTACAAGGCCGTATAGATGCTTTTCAATTTTAGACAAGCAAGTGAGGACTGGGCATCTCCAACCCAGATATGGCAACAATACTCCATTTTTGGTCTGATCTGGTCCTTGTAAAGTTAGTATAGTAGGAGGAATCACATACTTATTTGAATGGTACAATGAACCATCTATTTTTTCAGCATTTTTAGCAATGGATTGGATATATGGGTTCCACTTGTGATCTGGGGAGAGCTTGAATCCCAATAAATGTTCAAGGAAAGGAGCTTGCTTGAGAGATCACCCATCCATGAATATATACAGAGCAACTTCACTTCTTGAACATTTCACATGTTGAACAAATCAGTTTTTGAACAGAATATTCAAGGTGAAAATGCGTCGGTGATCAAACAAAATTTTGGTTCTCAAACAACATTACTAAACCGAGCCAAAGTGAGTTAACCCGAACGGAATCATTTCTTAGTCAGACACCATATTGTATACATTAGTGTGTTGTGATGTGATTTTCTGATATTATTGTACTGTCTTTTTTTCTCTTTATTAGTCCTCAGTCATGGCTCCAAAGCTAGCAGTGATACTGTTAAAGGAAAAAGAAAAGTTAAGAGAAAAAAATTGTTGATGATATTGTCTCTTTCTATTCAGTTTCATATGGCAAAAATCAACGATCTAGACTATTCTTATAAATCAAGAGATGATCATGTCTTTCCTTCCCTTTTCCAAACGATAACATCTTTTTCCTTCCACTTATACCATCAATTCACCTACTTACATGTACAATAAAATTGAAGTGTTTGTTCATATTTTATCTGCTTAGTATTGGGTTTATTTAATTTTTTCTTAAATTTAATGATTTTCGTTAATTCTGTGTATAAACTTGTGCCCAAAGTATTGTTGTTAAAGTTTAAATAAGCAATCATCTTGGTACCAGGAATGGATTCATCCATTTTACATTGGTTCCTATTGGAAAAATAGTTACAGTTTATGATCCTTTTGGATTACAAACGGGCTTCAGGAGTTCCACTGTAACTGATTTGTCAATGCAGCCATAACTACTAGAGCACCATGCCAATGTCTTTTGAATACTGGAACCAACTACAACATCAAAAAAAGAAAAAAATCTCTTACAGACACCAGCTCACAGAACAGGACAAGACTCCCCACACTGGCTGCCACCAGTGACCAATACTTAATTAGTGATTATGCTGGAGCTGCCATTGCTATTGCTGCCTTAACTGACTATTGTATTATCACAAATGATGACAAGTTATTGGACCACATAGGCTACTAGATGTGAGACAAAAATAATGACTGAAGAGGCAAAATTTCTTAAACTACACTGATGAGGAGGAGGACAGTGAAGATGGAGATGGGAATAAGGATGTTCCTCTTGTAGTCTAAATGAGAAAATTGGTGACCCCCAAATTAAAGAGGCAAACAAAAAACTATCATTCCATGATTAACTGGATGAATGAACTCAAGACTTAGTCTACGTACATTGCTTCTTTATCAGATCAACAGGTTAATGACATTTTTGAGACACCATTAGTAGTGGCCAAAACAGTACTCAGGTGGTCAAAAGAGTGATAAAAGTGATGACTGAAGCTTGCATTGAAGTGACAGGATACAAAGCAAGAGATAGATACGTTAGGCAAAGTTTATTGTCAAGGAAAATGATGCCCAGGTTCCACACAAATTCAGATTTCACTATTAACTTGTAATATTTTAATATGATGTACATGATGGAATTAAAATGATGTCACCAATGTACATTTTATTATTATCCTGGTAAACAACAAATGACACCTATTTTTCAATGTACAGTAAAAGGTAACAATAAGTCAATCACAATACTACAGGGAAAGTGGGCATGAAATGGCCTGAAATTTTTCACAAGTGTTTCTTACAATCATACAAACAAAAAGTGCATCTTGCAACTCAAAAAAAGTGTTTTTTCACTTATGTTTTTTTTTATTTTAAGAAAGTTAAAATGCAACTCAAACACAAAAGAGGTTATGCAGTTTATGGAGAAGATCCTGTAATTGATTGAATATGTCAAAAGTGGATTGCAAAGAGTTATGCTGGAGAACAATTCCTAACAGTTTGGTAGATTAGTTGACAATTACAGCACTTAACTCAAGACATTATTTGAGATTAATCAACATTATACGACATGGAGAGAGGGCTAATATATTCTAAATATTTGCAACTGGAAGTGAAAACTATTTGCACAAACTTATCTGTTAGTTGCTTTGATGTGTGACTTTTGTCTCAGACCTTCTAAGGCTGACCTTTAAGGTCAGATGGTAGACAAAATAGTGGTGTTGATTTTGATTGGCTGAGCCAAACGTGGGACTGTTAGAGATAGAAAGTGATTTCAGTGTGTTAAGTTTTTATACATCATACATATTAGATGTGGTTATTTTGTGTCTTGGGGAATTTGCTCCTCAGTGGGGGTAATAGAATGACCCCACTGGCTAGTTAGAAGATATACACATCGACATGTTTAATAAAATAGATAAGTTCAAATTCCCTTTGTTGATGTCTCTTTCATCTTTGAACTCCAAAAATATTTTGACACCTGACGAGGAGAAGACGGCCAAGAGAGAAGAATGCAGCTTTGTTGTGGAATTGGCCCCGTCAACCGAAAGACTTCCCTAGAAGAGATGGGGGATGGGGGTATACAACACAATATTACTCCCAATTAAAGTAACAATAAATAGAAATAACTATTAATTGGGAGAAAATGCATAATGTTCAACAAGGACATCACTATACACCTCATGTTACTTTGGTAAGAAGCTGAAAGATTGTTACATTTTGGCTGGCACATTTGAAATATTCAGCAGATATTGTACTTTCAAATTAACCTTTACCACACTGGAGGCAAAAACTGTTGCCGTAGAATTCTCTCTCTCTGCTGCTCTCGGCACATTCTGTCGCCTTGAGATGGTTGCTATAAATAAACACTTGTCAACTGTTATTTCCAGTCTTTTAAGCTGGAAATCGTCTACTACTGCTTTGGAAGAAGGTTAAACTTCCTTTTTCGAATGCCATTTTGAATTCTTCTAGACTCTACATGAGGTGTAGCATTGATTAAACCCACGTTAATTTTTTTGCAATTTTCTGTAAACAAAAATGGCTGCATCATTATCCAACAAATTTTTTTGTTCAGGTGTTTTTCTTTGATTAGGACTCCGATGATGATTGTGAAGGCTATTCTTGAGTGGATATTGACGGTGAAGTGGTCAGAGATGATATCCACTCTAGGTGTTCATGGTTTTGCGCCCTCAAAAAAAAAAAAAAAAAAAAAAAAAATATGCTGGGGGAACAATTCTAGAAAGAAATTAGCATGGTAAAAATTAATATCTATTTTGTTCTTTACAAAATTCTCCTAATAAAAAGTAGTATTTCAATCCAATGGAAGACTACAAAAGGCTCATAGATCAGATATTTGTTAAAAAGAAGATAAACAAAAATTGTGAGGAATGAATTATGAATTTATCTCAAAGACAGCACAAAATATAACAAATTTTTGGCCCACTCAATGTATATATGTATATACATAAACCAACACCTGCATAGCAAAATGGTTATTTGGTTGGTATCCAGAAGATACCAAGCTAGTCTACCAAACTGGATGTTTCATCTACAAGAGCATTAGTTAGAAATGAACACATGCAGCTGCTGGAATTTGAACTCTATTTCCAATTATCTGTTTTCACCTTTTTCTACAACAAAATGAAAATAATGAAAGAATGATAAACATGAGCCTCAAAGAACTACTCACTTTTCTTTATAAGACACAAATTGGAAAAAAAAAGTAACTTATCAGGACATGATTTACTTACCAGAGGTTTCTGACCAAACAAGAATCCAGTCATGAAAGAAACCCCACATTTATTGGCTTCAGATGAGGATAATAGACGAGTATAATGTGCCAAAGAATCTTTACACCATTGCCTGCAAATAACAATGCATACATTGTAATTGATGTGTATAATGTTATATAAAAGACAATAGGTATATGGAATTCAATTAGAAAAAAATATTGGTATACAACATAATGAAAATAAAAAATAAAGAAAAATATAAAAGAAAAATACAAAATAAAAAGGTAACTTTCTGTGCAGGGGCTCCAAGCATCACATTCAGTCCAGAGAAAACCTTACAATAAAATACAATAGCTAATCACGAATGTTCCCATCCCACAAAAAAAGAAAAGAAAAAAAGACCCTTGTAACCACCAGATTTGCTTAAAAGAAAGCTCTTTGTAAACAACTGATGCAGTAGCAGGCTGAGAAGCCACCTGTCAACACCAGCATGCTGTTGTTATCACCACCATGACATCACCCAAGCTTCAGTAATCCACTCAGACCTCCCCCTGCTCTCATCACCATGAACTACAGGCCTCTCTTGTTGTCACCATTGAGAGACTGTTCCTTTTTGATTTCTCGTTTGACCAAAATCAAATAGAAAAATACCACTACCAACCTGCTAATACACTCTTTGTATTAGCAAAGTTACATTTGCAACTTCACCCTTGCACCTTCTGTATTGGCAAAATTAGATTTGTGTCTTCACCTGATTCATCACACTCACACACTGTTTCAGCAAAGACAGATTGGTGGCTTCACTCATCCACTCCAGGCCTCTCTTGTTGTCACCACCATGACCCCATTTCATTGATCCCTTATTTGACCAGAATCTGACAGTTCTACTCGATCAAGCTTCACTATCACGCTCCAAGTGTTCTTCATGACCACCACCGCAACTTCAGTCAACCATCTCACCAATGCACCTTACTGGGCTTTACCACAAATCAACCCTGTCGGCAACAGGCAGTTTTTCTTAACACCTCAGCTTCATCACACAACTGCTGGCCCATCAATACCTTACTGATGTAGGTTTCAACCCTGAAGAAAGATGTACATCAGTCCCAACAACGACATCCCCACTTGGCTTCACTAGTCCACTCCAACCCTCTCTCTTGACACCAACCGTGACCTTGGCCAATCAACCCAACAAATCAGTCAACTCCCAACCTTACTGACAAAACCTTTATATCTATCACTTCCCTTACCAATGGCAACTAAAGAACCATATTTTGTCATCCCTTCACACAACTATCTATATATTCTGAAATTTGATCAATACAGGCAGAATTGAAATTTCACATCTTGTTTGTTCTTTCCCTTGCAATCATATGCTGGTTATAACAAGTTCATTCAAATATTTAACAAAGAGAACATGTTTTCATGCCCAACATAAAAACATATCGGCAAGTAATAATTTGTTTTTCTCAAATTTCTCAATGATATGTGGTTATTGATGAATAAAGACAAACACCTGTAACTTTTATTAATGAATACTAAATTCAGAATTCAGTCAGGTGAAATAAATATCTATAATATCAAAAGTAAAAATATTACATTGTAATAGATTAATCTTTAGACACCTCCATTCATATCAAACATGGTTTGTATATTCAATTATTTCTGTTCCAAGTACTAAACTATTCTCAAATAAACCTGTATCAATATGGAGGCTTTGGTATTTGGGTCAAAATTGCACACATTTGACCTAATTTTTGGCATAAAAACTCACAAGATATGTGGTCGTGATATAGCTTATATATATTTGACCTCAGATCATTCAAATGTGACCATAGCTTATCAAAGAGCACAGTATGCCATTTCTAGCCAATTGAATCAATTTCTACTAAAATTGAGTGAGAGACTGAGTTTACTATGAAATACAAAAAGGTATGGTAGAGTAGATAAACTTAAATTAGATCACTGAAGTAACTAATTCATCGATAGTAGCATAGTTTATAATCACTATTAGATTTAAGCATGACCCCAGCCATCAAAATCTACAGGCTCTCTGAAAGCTAACTGCATATTGCTGTGCAAATGGCTACTGGTAGCCAGGTAGCATCCATCAGGCAATGGCAACATCTGGAATTTCCTGGCAACAAGGAAATTAAATAAACAACTGGCAAATGAACAAAGCTCCCTTGAAACCAAAGATAGAGAAATTAATGACAGAAAATGAAAATCAAATGGGACGACGGGTTGAGCACTACCTAGAACTTTACTCAAGAGAAAATTCTGTCACTAAAGAAGCGCTTGATTTTATTGAGTATCAAGAAAAGCTGAACTCTGAGCCTATAAACGAAGAACTTAGCAAAGCTATTGATGCTCTAGCTTGCAGTAAAGCACTGGGTGAAGATGGCATACCGTCAGAGATCATCATTCAAAAGGCTGTAAGCCAGCTTTGCACAAACCACTACATAGTCTCTTGGAGAAAAAGGCAATGATCCTCAGGACATGTGAAATGCCAAAATAATTACTCTATATAAGAACAAGAGCGACCACAGTGACTGCATTAACTATCAGTGTATCTCCCTGTTAAGCATCGTTAGAAAACTCTTTGCCCAAATTGTTTTAATGGCACTCCAAGTCCTTGCTGATCACATCTATCTAGAAGAGCTAAAATATCTGCAGTTGACATGCTCTTCTCTCTACTTCAGGAAAGAGAAGAAATGTCGTGAACAACATATGTCCTTCATTGATCCCTCAAAGGTTTGACTGAGTTAGCAGGAAAAGTCTGTTCCAATTACTAATGAAATTTAGTTGTCCCCCACATCATTACCTCCTTTCACAAGAACATTCAGGGTGTAATCAGCTAGGTTGGTGAAACCTTAATACCCTTCACTATTCAGAGTGGCATAAAATAAGGAGGTGATTTAGCACTAACTTTATCTGTTGTCTTCTTTTCCATGTTATTGTTCTTTGTGTTCAGACAAGCCGAAAAATGTGTATACTTACACACAACATCAAATTATTCAACTTGGCTAGACTGATGGCAAAGACCAAGGTGCATACAATACTCGGACCCAATTGTTTTGAACAAAATGAACATATTATACCCTCTTTTGGATTTGTATGCACCTTGAGTTGTATGGGTGGAGATATATGAAACCAACTGATTATTAAAGATGAGACATTGCTCTATAAGAAGGTGTAATTTTCATTTTTTTTTTTTAGAGTTGAATTTCTCTGGCATTTCATCCACTAAAGTTTTCAATTTAGAACTTTTTGTGAATGACCACTTCAGACCTTATTGTTAGCCCACAAAATTGACAAGCATACATTTTTCCTTAATATGGGACTAGTTTGATATGCATATAGTGACACTTCAGAGTGTAACAAATTTGAAAAACACCACGATGAAATTGTCAATTTTGAAAATGCAAAAAAAAAACACTTTCCATCATTGAAATAGTGACATAATTTAAAGAGATGTAGAATAAAAACTAATCATCACACATGATAAAGAAATGCATGTTTAGAAAAGAGAAAAGATTAAATTTTGTTTACATATTATGAAAATATCCTTGAAAATAAATCAGATATCAGTAGTTGAAAGAGACAGAAATTTCACTATTTTGACATGTTTTTGCACTGTAATCTAGGGCAATTTGAGATACCTACTCTTAACTTAGACAGTAATTAGTAATTTGTATTGATTAGTAAAGTGTGTCATGAATATATCTTTATGTGTTTTTTATAATGCCACATCCCTTCAGGAGGTAGGCATATATTCCTTTTCTTTATAATCTGGGAACTGCCATGAATTCTTGGGAAAGATAATGGAATGGTTTTCCATATTTTTGTGTTCAGATTTGTCCTTCTCCAAGACAAGCTGTTACCCAAAACTAGAGAGTTAATTCTATTCTGCTACTTTTACCAATAGCTGGGTAGAAGAAGAAATGGTTTCTTGTGTCTTTCATGGACACAAGTGTAATGGTTACTGCAAAAGACTAGAAAATTGTACTTGGTTCATTGATTCCATTAATGTGCTAATGGTCATTTAAATACCTACACATTTATATACTCCATTTTTTAAAATCTTTTGGGGATTGATTTATTGATAACAAATTAAAGCTAAATACAATTCTTTGCAAGAGTTGATACTATTTTAAGAATTTTGTCTTGTAACAAGGCTATACTGATTTCAAAATAATTTTATTTAAAAAAAAGTCTTACATCATTTCTTCCTTAGGGATTCCCGGAGTGGTATTATAGTTTGGTCTGAACAAGCCTCCTGCTCCATCACTTGTTGTTTCTGTATTAAATTTATCTGCAATGACAGTAACAGACACAAAGGGAATAGAATCAATGATGTTCATGGCAGTAGAGAGGCCAACTACGCCGGCACCAATGACTGCTATTTTCTTCACCATCTGAAATTAAATAAAAAAAAAATGTTTTTGTTAACAAAATTTTAAATTTCACTGAGAAAACTATTATTTTATGATTATCCTTTTAATTTAGTATTTGGACTCTTGTCTGTGATTTGGATAGAGAGCAAAGTTGTTTGCTTAGGAGCATGAGAAATATTGCAGTTAAAACACAATAAATGTTCATTTTTACATTGTATTAATGCAATTGTTTTTTCACACTGATCCCTTCAGTTTACACATACATTTATATATTATTTTAAAACTACCTTTTTTTCAGATGTTGTTTGAATTTTTTTTGTTATATCTTTATAGGTTATTGAAGCAAAGTAAAGTGATTTTTTTTCTTTTGTCATTGGGCTCCGTATCTTCAAGTTCAGTCATTACTCAGCTTCTGCTACAGCTGTAATACCAAGAGTGTTTGAAACTGGAATCAGTTTCAAAATAGATCACACATCATTGGTTCAAAATATTTATTTTGGTGATATAGATCTCTGCTAGGACTGGGTTGTAGAAACAAATCATTATTTAACCATGAAAAAACTAAGGGGACAGCTATGGAGGCATAGGAAGCAAAGTTGTCTGTTTAGGAGTATAAGAAATATTTTTTTTTGTATATAATTATGGTAGTTACTGTTAGAAGGCTTAGTTTGGTCAGCATCTACAAAGAGGGTTGTTTGGATGTGGAGATGTTCAATGAATTGAGGATAGAAAATTTGATATGTGTTGCCTAGTTTTGTATGGTGTATCCCAGAGAATTGGAAGATTTGATCTTTTCAAAAATTTCAGACATTATAAAGCAAAATTTGCAGCCAAAAAAGAAGTTGGTTATTTCTGAAAGTATGACATCATGGCTGGTGTCAAAGGTTGACTGACAAATCTAATTTTTATTTCTAAGAAAGGAAAAATATATTTCATGTTAAAACAATTCAATACCATGAATTTTTAGTTTTGTGTTACTTGTGGAGTATAGTGTTAAAGGTGAAATTGCGTGGGATTGGTTGTTAGTTACAGACTTAAGTCTGTTGAACATGAGTTATTTTCATTTGATAAAGGAATTATTATTCATTGACATGAGTGACACAAAATAAATCTTTACAGGTCAGATATGTTTTGATCAGGAACGTGACTCACTGTCAGATAGAGGTGTCAATGACACTTGTGTTAATCAGGTCAAATGAGGGTAAGATTCCAAAACATGGAAAATGTTTCACTGAAGGTGGATATGAGTGATACAAAGCCACAAGTTTAATTGGCCCACCAAAGAGAGAGGGGCTGGGATGGTGCTTCTCGTCTTTTCTCTGACATTCACAACATAGAGCCATTATTGTGATTGTACCACCAATCATATTGGATTACATTGTTATTGGTTAGCCAATCAGAGCAGTGCAATTGAATAAAAGCAGTTGCAAAAAGAGCAGAAGCAAGATGGAACTGGTCTTTGTGCTAGTAGACCAACACCCTTCCTGCTAGATGACCGTAGTGCCTCAATCAGCTAAAGACCAGTTCTCTACACCATTTTTTGAACTCTCTCACTCATCTGTTTTCATTTAAATATTTGAACTACTCTGGGCTGTTTAGCCAATACTGTACCCACCAGTCATCTTCCTTCAAGCTCAAGAATTCCTTATATGGGGAAAACATCTTCAAATCCTTTTTGTTTATGTATTCATGACATTAAATCATAGTACCATAAATAAAGGTTGTTATTTTTACACTTATTAATGAATGTTGTTGAAGTTAATTAACTTTACTGGCATCACTGATGACTTTAGTCTTTCAAAATCATAGCCAGGACAGAGAGGACAGTTTGACAGTTCTTCACCAATATTCCTGCAGATATTGAAACGCAATATGGGGATGCAGGATTGGTGCAGAGTGCACTCAATGGAGATGGATCAAAATAAGAGTGGCATTGAGTGAAACACACAGCAACAGGGTCGCAAAAGAACAAAGTTTCTCATGAATAAACAACAGCCGAATGAAACAAAAATACACTATGTCCACAAATTGTGAGAGGCTTCCAGATTTTGTGAGGGTTAAAAACTTGGTAGAGGAGAAATGACCATCAAAGTTGAGTTGATACAGCCAAGATTAATTGAAGGTATGTGTAATGCTTCATACAAAGACAAAATTTTGGAATGGTTACAACTGACTAAACTGTCCTTGGATGAATCTATAGAGTTTTTGTAACAATTCAATACATCCAAGAGAGTAATGCTGAAATGTAAAGCATATCAAATTACCTTGTCTGATACAAATACTATAATAAAAAGCATGAATGGGATAAGAAAAAAATGTCCTTTAGGACAACTATGCTGGAATTGTGAAAAGAAAAACCCTTTCTAGCCTGTGTGCAAGTATAAAATAGAAAGGGTAGAAAATTTAAACCCCTTTCAAGAAAATACAGCGATACAAAGATTATGAGAAAAATGCCAAAGAAAAACTTAAATTGAATAGTATAACTTTACATATGCAAGTAGATACTGGGGGCAATGTCACCCTAATCCTAATAAATTTCTGGGAACAAACAGGCAAACTCAAATTTAAGAAAAATTGGCTTAAACAGTTTGATGACTTTCATCAAAACGTCGTTTTGCAGGAACTTTTGAGATCCGACATACTTCTAAATTATTCCCATCATGGTAGTGAAATGTAAAAGAGGTCATGGACTCATTGCATTAGATGACTTTAAAGTGGATACAAGTAAATTAATTAACAGTGTGAAATTAGAAAGTACTGATATGGGGATGTTAAAACGATACAAAGTAAGCATTCAATTAAAAGAAAATAGTCAACCCTCTTACCTTGATTCTTGCAGATGCTACGTTTAGTAGTCAACCCTATAGTCAACCCTTTTACCTTGATTCCCGCACATGCTACATTTAATTGTTGCTAAACTGAAAACAATAGAAGAGCAAGGAAATTTAGAACATTCTCTGTGGTGGTAGTAATTGGGCCTCACCCATTTTTGTTTTGCAAAAACTAGATGAATATTTAAGGATATGTGGAGATTACAAAATAGGAGTAAACCACAAAATATGCTCTGATTCATTCGCTATCCATTGAAACTGATATTCATGAGTTGTTAGGAATTAAATACTTTGCTAAAATTGACCTCAAATCTGCCTCTATCCAGATACAAAGTGATGGAAAATTTAAAGAGGTCACTATAATTAATTCTCCAATAGGCTTACTAAGATGGAGGTATATACCTTATGGTGCAAAAACAGCAAATGCTATTGAAAATGTACTAACCGGTGATGTTAAGAACAAGCTGATATACATATATTGGTGCTACCAGTAGAGAAAGCTCAGACAATTCAGAAGATAAAATATTGCACTGGATTGAAACAGATTTATTACCCTTATCTTGCATTTGAAACCTTACATGATCTGGTATTAAGCAAGATTGTGTGTAGAATAAAAAGAAACAAATGGAGTGATTATTCTAGGGCAGAGAGATCCTATAAAAAGGTAAGGCATGGGTTAAATATAGAGAATGACTTTAAATGCAATGAAGATATTTTAATACCACCAAAGAGATTAAGAAAAGACATAATAAAATGCTTACACAATGATGTTCATTATGGAATAATAGCAACACGGAGATGTGGAATATTGGTTAGCTTGCAAGTGGTCTGACACACACAGGTAGACTGGTGTAACCACCAAGTTAAACTGACGTGAGTCATTCAATGGAGAAATATATGGGTGAATAGAGACCACTCATGCAAATATGTTGGGCAGGTTCATTCTAGCAAAATGGACCAACATAAGTGGTGTATTAGGTACTCTCCTATAAATGAGGTAAAATTAGCTGGCCTGCTTTTCCAAGAGGACGCCAGAAGGCAGCCATATTAGCAGGTAAGTCACTTGACTTCTACAAGACACAAGTAAAATTGGAAGTATGGTGACCTGGATATTCTCATGATGTAGAGAAATATGTACAAAAGTGCCCAAAATGTAATGAAATAAAAAAAACTTTTGCCAAAACAATATACATTCATGGCCTAAAGAAAAAGACCCACAGGCCTGCATTCATATAGATCATGCATATGTTAGCAGCATAGGACTGTTTTTAATTGTGGTCGATTCAGTCTCTGGATGGCCTGAAGTGGTTAGAATTCAGGATAGAAAGGCAGCCAAAATAAAACAAATATCACAAGTAATATTTTCCAGAAATGGGGTGCCAAAAACATTAGTCTCTGAAAATGCATCAGAATTTTGTGATGAAATTTTGTACTTAAATAAATTAGATGCCTTCCATGATACTATTTAGAATTGAATGGAATTGCAGAAAGAATGGTACAGACAATGAAAATGGGGTTGGAGGCATTTTCACCATCCAGAGGCACCATAGATAGTTACCTACTAAGACTATTGGTTATAGTCCACATGCCAGTAGAATACAAAGTCCCTCTGCACTGATGGGAAAACAAATTAGATCCCTTATAACAATGTCCTATTCAACAAATGAAAGACGTTATTGGCTCAATTTGATTAAATAGGACCAAAAATTGACAAAGAAGAATCCAGACTAAGGCACACACACACACTAAGGGAGAAAGAGTGAGATAGAACTATAGTTTGGAGAAGTCATAGATCAACGAAGGGTATAAAACCTATTCATTTCTGGGAGGTGTAGTGATATAGACAAAATGGACTTGCCCAATTTGCATAGAGTCGAGTGACTGCTAATAAGTCAGTCACTTGGTATAGAAGGTGTTGTGATGAAATAACCTGACTTCCCCATTCACCATAAATGGACGTTCCGGTGGCCGATAAAGTTCGACCACAGTAAACAGTTGAGAGAGCGACAACAGAGAGCGACAACAAAGGTCTTGCAAGACCTCCGAGTCTAGTCTGACCGTTTATTCTGTCTTTTGGAGGATTTACAATTGAACTTTTTTGACTGCCCTATTTAGCTAAGTTTTGATTTATTTCTAACAGTTTTCTAACTTTACTTTTCGACTTTTTGTTCAATTTGCGACTTTTCTAAC